GAGAGAGAGAGAGAGAGCGAGCATCACAGATGTGTCTGATATAAATGGAGCCAGAGTCCATCAGACATCAGGCATGGCGCTCCGCTGAACCAAAGGGAAATAAACTCAATGAGGGAAAGACAGGGTATAGAGAAAGGAAGAGAGAGAGAAAGAGAGAGAGAGAGAGAGAGAGAGAGAGAGAGAGACGGGCGGGTGATGCAGAGAGATAGATGGAAGGATAGAGGGAGAGAGGGATGGATAGTATGATTTAACTGATAGGAGAAATCATTTACCAGCGCAATTTGTCGACAAGGATCTGGGGATGTCTCAGTGTGTCAGCGCCTCAGTCACTTTGATGGATGATGGAAGTTCACTGACTCTAACACTCTCTCTCTCTCTCTGCCTCTGGCTTCCTCTGAATTTCTTTCTCCCTCAGCCTCTATTCTTGCTCCCTCTATTCTGCCTTAAACACCAGCAGAGCAAAACCATCTTCAGCTCAGTGTGTGAACATGACTGTGTGTGTGTGTGTGTGTGTGTGTGTGTGTGTGTGTGCGTGCGTGTGTGTGCACTTGTATTACTCATGCAGCAGGGACATAAATCTGTTTACAGTCACATTTTCAGGACTTGCCTTCATTTTAAGGCCTTATAATGTAAATTGTAAAATTTTAGTATGACAACTTATGGTTAGAGTATTATTAGGTTTAGGTAAGTAAGTAGTAGTTACAGTTCGGGAATAAACTTAAGTCAATGTGATGTTCTCTCAAGTTACGGAAACACAGCTCTATGTGTGAATGTTTATATGTGTATGCAGGGAATGTATCACATGTGCCAAAATGGCATGATTTAGGAATACAAAAAAAAAATGTAAACAAAACAAAAAAACCTCCAGGTGAAGCATTTACCCTGCAGCTCTGACTTCAGATACTTCATGCTACCATTATTTAACATAACTGTCTTTGTTCGTGGTTCACTGATGGTGTGTGTGTGTGTGTGTGTGTGTGTTTGTTTGTGCGTGTGCTTGTCTCCAGTGTGTGTATTGACCAGGTGGGGCCATATATCTGCTCAATTCTTTATTGATGCTGCAAGGCAGGGTGGCCTATCGATGAGGCTCCTTGTTTTAGTGAACCAAGACTCGCCCCAGGCCACAGCTCCACCCTGCACAGTCTCTGAGATTAAAAATAAGATAAATCAGGGTTGGACCAATACATAGGAGCAAAAAAAACAAAGCTGGTGTAAATCGGGAACATGTGAAACTGTCTGTGCTCCATTCCAGAAATGAGTAGAACACTATAATATAGTCTTTCTCAGCAGTATGAAATGCAAAGATTGCTTGATTTGAAAAACAGACCTGATGTCTTTATTTGTTTAAGTAAAAATAACAATGAAAAGTCACATGGCTGTGAGAACAGACAGAGAGGGCTGAATAAGGTAGATGTCTTTTACAACAGCAACAGTTACAGTTAAAATGCTGAAAAGGTGACTATAAGAGGTAGGAGATAGAGGCACATCCAGGACCATGGCAAAGTGATTTGTAATAGGTTATTTACAAGATCAGTTGATGAAACCTAAGCGCATATGACAAATAATTAATACTAAACAATTACAAACTGCAATAGCTGCTAAAGCCTAAAAAAAAAGAAAAGTCTTTCAGTGTGGATCTGGGTGTCTGTGTTTATCTGCTCTGGGTAAGGGTTAATTTCAGCTGTTACGACATCACAAAGGGTTTATAAAAGCATCACTTCTATCAAAATCTAACTTTACAGAAAAGTCAGTCTCAATCATCACTGATAACTTGATTCATTTGCTGCTGGAAATTAGTTTCTTCTTCATCTGTATGTGGAATGAGTGTAAGTAAACCCTAAATTGAGCCTAACGTTTCTCTGCCTGGGGAGTCGCTGAGGATTTGCTGCCAGGAATGACGGGGCTACAGTCCCTGAGCCATTGGCAAACTGCTTTGTTATGCTCAACACCATCAATCTCCATGCATAAGAATAGCCAACTTCAATACCTCTATTGATCTAAGAAACCTTTGGAAACAGCTAAGGTCAGAACCTTGTCCCACTTCAAAAAGTTGTAATGATTGATTTATAAAATTTTTAAGCCATTTTCTATTAAATTTTGGAGCAGTGTAAAAGAAACGCATGGGGCCAGTATGTCAGATGAATTCATCATCACCAGTTGGAGGAAATGATTATCTGACAGGCATGTAAAATAGAAGGAGAGCTTGGGAAGGGGTAAAAGAGCATGCTATTCACCTCAATGAAGAGAAGAGAAATCACAAAAACAGAGGCAATAGAGGACAAAATGAAGAAAAGTGGAGAAGGCAGGGAAAATGCCAGCTATTACTATGACGAACATGAATTCCAAAACATAGCCTGTCATCAAGACACTATCAATTAATTGATCTTTCTCATCTCTTTTAAGGGATACAATTTGTATCACTTTCTTTTGTTATATGTGTTTGTCATTCCTTGTGTTAGTGTTTGTGTGTATGTGTTTTAACATCTTGTCAAAGAGAAATGTCAGTGTGGATAAGGTGGTTTATATTGTGATCAATCAAACTTCTGGTCCATCGTCTTGTCTTCTTCTTCTTCTAATATCTTTTGGTATGTTTGATAGTAGGTCAATGTGATGGTTTCTTGTGTCATCTCCCAGTTACAGCTTTTACTGGATTTCGCAGTGGTTAGTGAAGATATACAGGTTAACTGAGTCACAGTCTCTTGCCTCCTCATATACTGTTGAACTTCAATTGTAACCACCACGCTCTAATATAACCGTTGGCCTTGGACTATCTTTCTGTTAAAGCATTCATGGAGTTGCTATACACATGAAAAGCTGTTATGAGAAGAATAAGGGAAACAGACGTTGAAGAGAAATTCCATACTTGACAGTTTTCACACCTTTTCACACCCAGCCAAGTGTGAATCAAAGAAAATGATCTGACTCAGCCCTCTGATGCTAGCATTAGAAACGGTTTGTCAGACATTAGATGATCTGACATGATCTTAGTTTGAGCGATACAGATGTCTTCCCGCTAACCACAGCATGAGAGTCTCAGTGGGCAATAGAGTGTTGGGCTTGCTCAACCAATTAGAGGCAGAATCCTCGCTCCTAGTTTAATAGAAGCTCTGACAAGTTCAGAAACCAATTCTCGGGAAAACCTGCCTTTATTCAAATAAAATGTCGACAAGCGCTTGTATTTCTTTAAGCCAGTAACAATCATCCTAAGAAATTAAACTTATGGCCATTGGCAGGCTTCTACTTACTACTATATTCAGTATTTTATAAGAGTTTCCAACGGGGTCAAAAGGTTGTTTCAGACCAGAAACACATTGAAAGGAATACTGGCCCTGCAGTCTGCCCATCAAAGCCAATATTGATCCTGTTACCCAGATTGATACAATTCAAATATAAATCACATAATATGCATTAATTTGACTGAACTGTGGAACTAGACATTAGTTAATGGCAGCACTGGTCTCCACTATAACACTTAAAAACGCCAGCATGACACACACAACTAAACTAACTCCTCTCTGCCCTGTTCCCATATCTATCTTTCCCCACAGGGTAACCAAGAGGCCCCAGCTCCCCCTGAAGCCATGGCTCAACCTTTTCCACCAGCCCAGTACCCACCTCCACCACAAAATGGGATCCCCACTGAGTACACCACACCTCACACCCACCCCCCGCCCGACTACACGGGACCAAGCACAGTGGGCGAGCACACCTTGACGCTGTATACACCGACACACACACAGAGTGAGCAGTCAGGAAATGACAGCAGCACCCCATCCCTCACAGCCAACACAGTAACGGTGAGTTTGAATATTTTCAGATTTACCTCGCAACTAACCTCATTGTCATGTCTTACTTCAATCTTTTAATTTTTTTGTCGTCGCAGTTTCTCTGTTCTCCATCTGCTGTCCTCCAGATTGTTGCTTTATCTTTATAGTGCATTTACATGCAAAACAGGTCTAACAAATGCTTGACCACATCATTAAAAGTTAATAGATCCCATTTATAGCATGTGTCATCACTGTTGTACTATATTACAAAATATTTATACATATATATTTTGTATATATTAATTCATGATCCTATGCCATGTGATGTTCTATTTCTATACTCATTTCAAGGTGTGTGCTGATGTTAGTAAGCTACTTAAACCATTTGGTGTGCTTGAGTTTCAGTTTTAGTTCTATAAAAAAAAATATAGACATTTTGAGTAAATGTTTTACTCAGATTTTCAACTGAATATTTTCTGTAGTCACGGGATCATATAATCCAGCAAAGACGTATGAGTCAGAGTTGACTTCATCTAAACCACCAATGAGCTGTTGCCCACTTGAGCTGCTGCAGATGCCAGTGTGGTCTGTGTTTATAATCATAAGAAACAGCTGATGATACACTCAGAGATATTTTTTAAGTTTGTTTGTTCAGAAGGCTGAATCTCTAACAGATTTAGGTCAAGTGGCGACTGGATAAAATGGTCTAAATTTCACCTTAGATTGCCTTCGGATGCTGACAGTGAAATGTAGCATTCAAATGACCATTTGTAGCATACCTTAGGTATACTTTAGTTCCCAATCCCTGGTGCGCTATTTTCCTTAGATGTTTTTGAGGTTTGGAGATAGTTAGTTGAGACTCATCCTGCATTCTAAATTGCATACTTATGCTTTTTCCTTTTAGTACGTGCTGCAGCTGTCCTAACGAAGTACGTACTACTGCACACAGTATGGACACTACAGGAAGAAAGTGCTTTGTTGTATTATTTTGCCTTACACTTTGACTGTTTCACTCATGCTTTTGTTACAGCCAGCTGTGTAAAATTAGTTTTTTGTGTGCTCTCTGCAGCTCTTGTTTGTCACTCAAGCAAGACACCATGACATATGTGAGATATCTTCCACTGCACAGAGGTTGTGGGTCAGAATGACCAGAAAAGCATGTTGGCTTTCATACTGCAGAATGAGAGCAGATGCAGTAGGACATCCCGGTATTTTTGGCTCACCGCATTTAGCATGTATGCATGGGGACATACTAAATCTTTTTGTGGTATACTATATAGTATGGTAGTGTGGGTAGAGGAATGCAACCACAAAGTCCACTTGCTCCTGCGGCTCTGTCTAGATAATGCTGTAATAGTGGGCGGTAATCAGTGATTTTGCATAGAGTACTACAAGCAAAATTTCTCTTGTTGATTCTCTGACTCTTTTTCTGAAGTTTCTTTGACACTACACTTCACACAAAATGAGATCTAAAACTTAAAAAATTAAATTTGCACACTCTCTGCACCTATTTAAAGCTGTAAAACTGCATAAAATAAAAAGAGCTGAGAGTAGAACAGTTCCCTTTCACTCAAAATGATGTCTGTTTGGCCTTTGGCCCTGTTAGATAAAGTGAATTTGCAAATGCATGCACACACTATACCGTCACACATTGAATCACATATTTACAAAGCAGGGATAGACTAGTACTGTATGTCACTGACAAATGAGCCACAGTTCAGCCACATTTCAGCACAGAACTACAAACACACATATGCAGGCAGGCCTAAGGACGTCCACACTATAGTTAACTGCACCACCACTTGTCTCTAGTTGAGGAGCCTTCAAGCTGTCAGGGACAATAAGATTGGAGCATGCTGGGAAGGTATGGGAGTGAAAAGACAGTGATGTCAGAGTCAGGGAGTCCGATAGGAAGAAAAGGCACAGTACAGTCAGCATTACTGGGAGTGTTTTACAATCACTGTGGAGAGTTTGTCACAGGCTGTAACTGTGACTGTCAAGAGACATAGTTACTGCAGGATAAAGGAATACTCACTGTGAGCTAAAAGATACTTACTACATTTACTGTCAAAAAAATATACTGTCAGCACAATATATCAGGCTGATATGGTGTTGCTATTTTTACTTGTTAAGGTTTTTACATGTACAATGGGAAGAACTTGTTATATACACAATATAATATTAAAAATCTGATTTGTTTGGCCAACTGAATGTGAGTGAAATAACAAAACTGAAATGGCTAATGATTTCATGGACAGGTTTTGGCTGCTGGAAGATGGATATCCATATCTAGTACTATTTGTTCCCAGCATTAGATAGTTCTTTTTTAGTTTTTCCCCCCTCTCTATTCCTTTGTATGCATGAAACCCACACCAGAAATCTCCTCTCAGTTTCTGGTCTGGGATGATAAGTTAAAAAAAATTTAAAAAAATAAATATATATATCCATTTCTAACTTAGAGTTGAATATTTATCGGCAGAGCACCCGCTGGCTTTTGTTCTGTGACTGAGAACCTGCATTAATTCACTTAATATTGATAGTCCATCCATTTTTTTCCCCAGAATCGAGCTAAGCAGGGTATTCCAGATGTACATACATAATAATCATACAAACGTTTTAAAACAATTAAGTCACTACCAGTATCTTTCAAATTCCAAATATGTTTTTTAAGTTAGAGGAAAACATCATTTGGTCATGACTGTGTTTCCTTTATAACATGCTTGTTGTTGCAGTTTAGCCAGAGTTGATCTTCGGCTGTCATCATGTAACTTGATGAACGACAGCTTTTTTATCACCCTATCCCTTATGATACACCTCACCTTGGACTGGACAGTTAAAAGATCTTGCACAAACCTTAAGTTTATGTATTTACATTGGAATTCAACAGACTGGTCGGATTTCAGGCCAATGCTATGAAGTTACATTATGAGAAACAGTATCAGTATTTTGGGAGCTTGACCCTGTTACGGTGGGGTCTGAGAACCCAGGTGCCGACATAGACAGACAGGCAGGTGGAGTGAACAAAGTGATTTATTTAAATAATAGGATAAAACTGAAACCAACATGAAGTGTGGAAACTAAGAGGGGAGGAAACAGAACGGGATAAACTAGACTAAATTCAGGAAAGGGGTAAAATTACAAAAAGCTAAGAAAAACTCAAAACTAACACCAGAAAGAAAAAGGGAAAACTAATGTGGAACTAACTAAACCAACAAAACGGGGATACTCACAGGACGGGGTACTAAAACAGAAGGAGGGGGGCAGACAGGCTCAGGGAATGCAGACTGGAAACAGGTTGAGGCAGGATCAGAGGCAGGAGAAGGCTGGCTGGGGGAATGCAGGCAGGGGAGTGGGTCCAGGTGGCAGCGGCTCAGGAAAAGGCAGGAAGACAGATAGCCAGGAGACAGAGCAGGGATCGGCAGAACATGAAGGATGAAGGTTTATGGTCTGGCAGGGTGTGGTGGAATGAACTGGTTTTTAAAGGGAGCTGAGGTGATTGAGAGCAGGTGAGCTGATTGCCACAGCTGCCTCCAATACCTGTAATGAGGCAGGCTGAGCAAGGCTGGAGTGACTGAGTGCTAGAGAGGAGGAGGGAGAAGAGAAGGAGAAGGAGACAGGCAAGAGCTGGGGCTGAGGCTGGGGGGTCATTGCAGACCCACACTACGGGCTGTCTCTGCTGCTTTGATTTTGATCATTTTAAATTGTCTTTTGTGATTTCCTAAACTTGATAAATGTTCACTATTAAATCACCACAACACATCTTTTTAAAATGTTTAAAAGCAAAACTTTTGATTTAAACTGTGATAAAAGGTGAGACCTACGTTTCTCCTCCTGTGCTTAGGTGTGTTTCTGTGTGTTTGTGTCTTGGTCTAATAGCTGGTGAGCGAAAACTCTATCTGTCTAATCGTGTGTAATCTACCTGTCTGCCAGGACTCCCACCTGATAGCTTCCATTATAGGCTCTGGGAGGCAGGCCAAAGACACACTGCTGAGCTCCCCAAGTCACACACACACACACACACACACACACACACACACACACAACACAACACAACACAAAACACAGTAGCAACACATCTAAGACTTATTTACAAGACCTACCTTTTAACGTATTTGTTTATTTATTTATTGCTCCACCCAGCTACATGTTTCACATGTACAGGGAATTTCCTCACCTGTCACATGATCTGAGTAGTTACATAGTTGTAGTACTGTCATGCAAGGTGTAACCTTTAAGATGCACAGGTGTATTTGACCATTCTGGTGATTGTTTTTTTCAAGATCTCTGCTTATGAGATAGACTGGCATTTATTCACTGGTTAGTGCACAAGAGAGTTGGCACAAAACTGCAATGATACAATGAGAACAGTTCCCTCCTACCTGAACCCTCTCATTTGGGTCTACACTCCCTCCTGCTCACTACGCTCGACCAACAAAAGCCGCCTGATTCAACTACCACAACAGGGCCCGATGTCAATAGCTAGACTCTTCTCCTCTGTGGTTGGTGGTGGAACGAATTATCAAACTCTGTTAAATCTGCTGATTCCCTCTCAGTCTTTAAGAAAGGACTAAAGACCCACCTCTTCACTGAAAACCTTTGCACTTGACAGACTGAAAGCAAAAAAAAAAAACAAAAAAAGAGCCTATTACCTTCCACACAGTCTTCTATATACGCCCTATCACACTTGAACTTGTTCTATGGCACTTGTCCAGATTGTTTTCTCCTGAATAGATCCTTGCTTGTGTTGTATCTGCTCTCAGATGTATGTCACTTTGGATAAAAGCGTCTGAAAAATGAAATTGTAAAATTTTGCTACCCCCTGAGTTGGTGTCGCTCATCTCATTTATAGGTTCTTTAGGCTCAAGCGGACATCAAGAACAACACAGACATATTCTATGGCAAGATCCGCTGAGGGCTTTATTTGCAGCCCACTGTGGAAGCCAGCATTGTTCAGTGTGAAGCAGCAGGGCGTACTGGGTTTGTCGTAACGCGCGAATAGCGCGATGAATTTGGGTCTGGTGTGAACACAA